GTTCTTTAAAAGCCCCAGAAAAGAGGGATATTTTAACCCGGTGCTGAAAAGATGGCAGATTCATCACCATCAAGGCCTCAGTGAGTAGGTTATTCCATAGATTGGGGGCTACCACTGAGAAAGCCCGCCCCCTTGTTGCCAGCCTCCACACTTTCCTCGGAGCTGGTGCTTGGGTGAAGCCCCAGAGGTTGAGTGTCGTTTCAGTGCAGTGCAATCAGTTGGGAAAGGTGCCCCAATGAGAGATCCTAGTCATGCAAGGTTAAAACCAGCACCTTGATTTGGAACTGGAACCATACAGGCAGCCAACGTAAGCGGGGCAGAACTAGTCTTATATGTTCAAACCTGCAGTTCCTTCTTACTAATTTGGCTGCTGCGTTCTGCACCAGCTGCAGCTTCTGAACTGGCTACAAGGGGAGCACCACATAGGGTGTATTTTAATTACTCATTTTAGAGATTACCAGCAATATCAACAGAGTCACTTTCCCATCTCTCTCCTCGCATGGGTCATCATGGGTCATCAAGGCTGCTTCTCTGCCAAAGCCAGGCCTGAACCTGGGCTGACATGGGTCCAGATAACCAGTCTCATCCAAAAGTGCCTGGAGTTGATTGACAACCGTCCTCTTTAGAAGCTTGCCCAGAAAAGGGAAGTTTGTTACTGGCCTAAAGTTATTCAGATCTTCCAGGTCAAGGGGGATTTTTCAGAAGTGGTCTCACTACTGCCTGTTTAAAGCAGCATGGGACCAATCCCTCTTGTAAGGAGGCATTAAGGACTCCCTGGCCCACCCAGTTGTTTCTCCTTGCTGACTTTTATAAGGCGGGGGGAGGATCCAGTACAGAGGTGGGTGGTGCTGTCCAAGCACTTTGTTCCCATCTCGAGCTGTACCAAGTGAAACTGATCTAAGAAAACCAGATTCAGCTGCTGTAACTCTGGAGTCTAAGTCTTGGTAGATTTAAGATACTGTTTCCTGGAAGTGCCCGGGGAGTAAATTGCAGCGTACCCGAGATGGTTCTAAGATGTCTCTGAGGCCAGAAAGTAATAATCCCCAAGCAATCTTGGAAAGCTCCGCAGGTGGCAAAGAGAAGACTGGATAGAGTCAGTAAAGTATTGTTCTTGCTGTCTTTGCTGCCTCAAAATATACTTGATTGTGGCTGCATACCAGGTGTCTGTTGCATTCACTGGGAGTTTTCCTCCATCTGCACTCAAGACTTCTCAGCTTCAGGATATTCCTCGGAGCAGTATGAACTGTACAACAGAGAGGGCACTTGGGACTGATCATGTCAATTCCCCGGGTCGTTTCTGCATTCCACAGCATGACCAGAGCTTTGACAGGCGCACCAACCATGTCAGCCAGAAAATCCCCCATCCAGATCCATTCACCATCTTAATAGGTCTCCCACACTTGCGGAGGGGAAAAGCTGCTAGTCCTTAATTATTGGGGCTTGTACATGGAAACTACCACCCACAGTTTTAGATGAAGGTTGGGTGTATATATTCTCCCCCCCTCCCTCCCTCCCTCCCTCCCTCCCTCCAGTTTTAAATGAAGGTTGGGTGTATACCCTTGCACTCTAGATTAATTAACC